ACTAAATGAGCGAATAAATGAAGTTATTTAATTCCACCAAAGACCCTTGTGAAAGTGTATAGATAGGGAGATGATTTCACGCTTTTTGTGAGAAAAACATAAAATAACTCGTATTAAGGGATCTACCATTGAGACTCTTGGGGTCGACCTCTCCTTTTATTTTAATTAAAGGGTTCAACCTTCTTTATAAATAGGTCAAATTTGTAGGACAATATGATAACTAGTGAACTAATACCAGACCAACACCGAATTTGTTAAACGGTTGAAACCTGCATAGGATAGGTATGTGTTACCCTTTGAACCTTCCCTTATGAATGCATATTTACTTTACTAGCTGACTAGTAGACACGATATCTTTGAACTATTTTGCCGTTTATGTAAACGATGATACTCCACACATGATTTTTTCTAACATATTTTAGTTCTCATTATTATGTTCGTTTTGGCCATGAACATACACATGGTTCTTTGAGAGTTCACAAGAATTACGACCCACACAATTCCCTTAGAAGCGACCTCACTTCTCTCTCACATAGGTGATTTTTTATTACAAGTAACCCGCATTACTTGGCTTGATTTTTGACACAAAAGAATCATTAAAAGTCTATTGCTTATCCTTCATCTTTACGGGCATCACCGTCGCATCATAGGAATGGACATGAGGTAATATCCCCTACATTGATTCTATCAAATATTTACAATTATGTTATCCCTTTGAACCTAGATCTTGGGATCTCCGATCAACTAGGTTGGGTTTTCATTTGTATTAACTTATCCATTCAAAGGCTTAAGTCACATTCCTCTCGATGATTTTTTAACTAACTCTCTATTTAACCATTTGGTTAGCGGATCCGCAATATTATCCTTTGACTTTACATAGTCAATAGTGATAACTCTAGTTAAGAGTAGTTGTCTTATGATATTGTGTCTACGACGTATATGTCTAGACTTACCATTGTACATGTTACTATGTGCCCTTCTAATTGCTGATTGACTATCACAATATATGCAAATTGCTGGCACATGTTTTGACCATATTGGAATATCCTCTAAGAAGTTGCGTAACCACTCAACCTCTTCACCATTTTTATCTAGAGCTATAAACTCAGATTCCATAGTGGATCTGGCTATCACTGTTTGTTAGAGGATTTTCAGGATATAGCTGGACCTGCCAATGTGAACACAAATTCACTCGTAGACTTTGAGTCTTTTATATTAGATATCCAATTAGCATCACTATATTCTTCAATAACCGCTGGATATCTTGTATAGTGCAGTCCAAAATTACGAGTATATTTCAAGTACCTTATTAC